ATAATAATAATAATAATAAAGCTCTAAATAGATTTGACTGTATTTCTCAGTATTATGCATTATATTACACAGAATGTGGTGGAAATACGTACGGTGCTCCTCAAGTCATACTTGGGTAAGACCAGCTTCCCGGTTAGGATAGATTTACCTAAGATTCTTGAATCTTTGAAGCAAATGGATGCTTTGGTTCCAGTATCTACCTTAAGCAAATTCCCCCCAAGGCTTTTACTACCCAGGTGTTATCACACCTCTTTTTATTCCCAAGGGTTTTACACCCCAGCTGCTTCAAGTACCATTCCAGTTGGGCCAGCAAAAGGCATGTATGGGACTGATCCCATTTGTTGACCTTGAAACAGCTCCCACTGAAAGACCATGAAAATATTGCTGTTTATTTCAATGGAATTAGAACCAGGTCCTTAAGTAGGGCTTACATGGTGCTTAGGTTTTATGCTTGCCCTCTGCACAGGGGTGAATCTCATTCCAGCAGAATGCCACTGGAGTATAGCAAAAACTCAGCACCGGTAGAACCACCTAAGCCTGAAGGACATCCTTCCTTTAAAAGTTTGTACTCTGCAGTGTATGTTTACATTTATTTTATATATATTTACATATAAACACACACACACAGAGACAGATGTATGTGAAATGAATGTTTTGCCCACAAAAATGCTGTGCAAAGTAAATGTGGAAAACATTATCTATATTATAATAAAAAAAAAAAACCAAACAGTCAGTTTCCCTTCCTCCTGAATGGAAATAATTTCCATCTTTTCAGCTAATAAGGCTTTGAAGAGTTTCATTAGTACTGCTCTGCGCTATTTCAGCGTGTTTGCTCTTGACTGGTGATCACATCATTATCGTTAACTTTTGCTGTAACGTCACTTCTCTCTCCATGGCTCGTAAGACCGTTAGCCTGAAGGAATCGATTCCTGCCAGCCTTCTGGTTTGCTGCTGCCGGTGTGCAGAAGGCCGGCAGTCGCGGACAGCCGTGCCCCCCCCAGCTGCCGCCGTGGAACTGGTCACCGCCTGCGCTCGCTTGCCAGTGCTGACTGGTTCAGCCGTCGCCGCCTCGCCAGCATGCTGATGGGCCCGCTCGTACCTCTGCTCCCTAGCTCTGATCCAGCCGAGCATGGCGAGCTGAGGCGGCTCAGGGACGGTGGCTAAGTTAGTCAGGCTGCTTTTCAACCGGAGCAAGTTAAGGAGTGTGAACAGCTCCTTCTGTGGAGCCTTGCACTGACAGTCTGCAGCAGGAGGAGGATGACGAGCCATCGGAGTCAGTAACCTCTTCCATTGGCACAGCTGGATTTGGGAGAGGATGTCTACGCACAGACTATGCACGCACGTATTTGCATTTTACACGCTGACAGATGCCTGATGGCAGCAAAAGACTATATCACCTAACTAAAAGGAACAAATTGTGTGTATCAGGAACTAGAATTTGGTTTATCAGGTTACCTTACTTTCCATCTCAATGTGAATAAAGACAGAGGCTCCTATCCCGAAGAAACTAAGTACTTCGTGTCAGACTGTGAACCCTTTTTTGTAGCGGTGAACTCACTTCAGTCACCCTAGTGCTTTAAGAAGACTGATCTTTATGATATTTATGCAAAATTCATTTTGAGTCATAATATTCACTACCGCTTCTAGGAGGATGTCAAGTTTACACCCTGTTTTTTT